CTCTGCCATTCATTCATTCAATGTGCGAGGTACTATGTTTTACTCTTTGAATGAATGAATGAATGAATGTAATCACTCTGGGCTTCAGTGTCCTCATCTTTATGCAGGAAGTTGAACTAGAATGTTGCTGAAGAAGGATAGTGTGAGGGTGAGGATCATTTTTCTCGTATCTCCAGCCTGAATCTCGCAACCAAAGCAGCAGGCTATAGGAAGAAATAGTACTGAACAGCTCTCATTGATGCTGTGGCCAGACCCCTGCCCCCCTGCTCCATGGTGTCTATAGTAGGAAGTGTGCCCCCAGGTGATGACAAGTGGTTTTATTGTCTTCCCCTCCACTCACTGCATGGCTAATGATAGAGCTCTGCCGTTTTCCTCTCGGCCACTCCTCTCAGACTGTGCTATGACAGTGATATAGGCATCTGGGGGTGTGGTGAGGTGAAGACACCCCTGTTTTCCCAGCAGACAGCCCGCCGATCCCACGCATCAGGAGCACTTCCTTCAGGGATCTTGGGCTGGAGCTGCTTATTACTGGAACGGGAACGTTTTAGATACTGTCAAACTGAATCAAATGGAATTGGCCCAGCTGCTCTGCGCTGTCGGGAATTACGCCAGGAACTGCTCATTTGTGGTCCGTGGCCTTGGTTTTTCCCTCCTGCCTTGTGATTCCCAGGAAAGAGAAGGTCATTTTATGATTCCTTATTCAGGACAAGCACAAAGGACTCAGCCCTACAAATCCTGTGACTATTTATATTCAGGCTCATGGTGAATCTTCCTAACCATCCTAATCCTATAAAAAGCTCCTTGAAAGAATAATACATATTACTTGAGTTGGCATAGGAACATGGAATGATTTCAACTGAAATGCTGTTAAATGCCACAATTCGGTATTGACTAGTCATTGGGACAGTCGTGTATGGATGCTGTTGTCTGGATTCTTTCCCAAAGATTCTGTGATCATGAGATATAATTGCCACTCTGCGAGTCTGTATCCCATGAGTTTCCTAACAAATGCTCTAAACACCGTTCTGATTGTCTCCAGTCCACGGGCTCCATCAGCCTCCCCCTTTCCAGAATGTCTCCCACACACCCCCCCCTACTTACATCTGTCGTTTCTGCTCTTCAAGGTCAACCTTACTTTTGATTTCTTTTTTCTTGAAGCCTTCCTTTAGCATCCCAGACCTTGGTGAGCTCGACTTTGTGTAACAAGTTTGGTTTGTGCTGAGTGCTGGCATTTTCTCATCTAATTACCTTGTATTGCCAGTTTTTAGTCACACCCGCCCTCTCTACTTTTTAAACCATGTGCCCTTTCTACCTTGGTAAATTGTCAATTTCTTGAGGGGAAATAAAGGACAAGTTCTCTGTCCCTAGCCCCTTGTGTAGAATCATAATACATCTATCTCTAATACTGATTGAGTGTATTAATTATCCCTATTGTACAGATAGGAATACAGGGGTTCGGTTTGGTAGGAAATTTGAATAAGGTCATACAACTGATAAGTTTCAGGATAGGATTTAAATTGGACTTTTGACTCTAACATTCTTTTTCTTTTTTGTCTTAATCATTTTAGCTTTTAAATTGAATTTATTGATTTGAGTAGTACATGTGCATGTAAAAAAAAAATTACAAATGTTCTGGGTCTCTTTCATTTCTACCACACCATACTGGTAACTTAATACTTGCTTGTTCTCAAAATGCCCTGTTATTTTTTCTCCAAGAAGCCAGCTTCCTCTTTTGACTTTTGTTCTGTTACTGACTCCATCAGAAAATCTTGGAATGACTTTTTTACTCTTCTCTCGCTCGTCCCAGCTTATTGGTCACGCAAGACCAGCTCATACCTCAAATCCACACCTGCTTTGTCCATTCTCACCCATTCCCTGAATCCAGTGGACACTCCTCACCCAGATGACTGCCTCCCTACCTCCCTTCACCCCGTTTCGGTTCATCTCAGGGTAATCGAGAACCCTTCAGAAACTGCAGGGAGTCCTTCTACCTTCTTTTTTTTTAATTTTAAAGTAAACTTTTAATTTTTTTTTAATTTTTTGTTTATTGCAGTAACATTGGTTTATAACATTGTATAAATTTCAGGTGTACATCATTATAATGCTATTTCTGCATAGATTGCATCATGTTCACCACCCAAATACTAATTACAACCCATCACCACACACATGTGCCGAATTATCCCTTTCGACTTCCTCCCTCCCCACTTCCCCTCTGGTAACCACCAATCCAATCTCAGTCTTTATGTGTTTGTTTGTTGTTGTTATTATCTACTACTTAATGAAGGAAATCATACGGTATTTGACCTTCTCCCTCTGACTTATTTCACTCTTCATGATACCCTCAATGTCCATCCATGTTGTCACAAATGGCTGAATTTCATCGTTTGTTATGGCTGAGTAGTATTCCATTGTGTATATATGCCACATCTTCTTTTTCCATTCGTCCCTTGATGGGCACTTAGGTTGCTTCCAAGTCTTGGCTATTGTGAATAAC